TTTTTTTTTTTTTTTTTTTTTTTTCTAATTTGATGTCATCTCTTAAGTGCTGTACAACAATTTTGTTATTCTTTTTCTTTTGTTGTTGTTGTTTTGTTTTATAAATTAACAATTATTTTTCACATTAATTATTAGTCATCAAAAAAACCTCTATTTCCGTATCAAACTGAAAGTATCAACTATCCCATCTGAGACCTTACTGACTACCGCTTTACAGTGTTCTTTGCAGTACATTTTAATTAATAAAATTTTGTTGATATAAGCAAAAAAAAAGCACTTAGACATTTATTAGTTGTCAAAAAAATGATACAAAATTAAAAAAAAATTTTGAAAAAAAAAAAAGGAGAATATTTATTGTTATTAAGTTATCTATTTGTATTGTATGTGAATAAAATAAATATAAAGAAAAGTAGCAGTAAATTATGTCTTATTATTATTACTGTTACTATTATCAATGTTATTTGTATAACTTTAGTTATACTTATTACTACTATTGATGCTTTGTAATTATATAAGAGAAAATAGAAAAAAAAGTGAAAAAAAATTACAAAATTAATGAATAAACTATATATGTGATAAATTCTTTTTTAGCAATTGGAAGCTCAAGATTATAAGATTAAATGTATAACTGCACTATTCATTTTTCATATTCCTACAGAAAATAACTGTTTGATTTCAATGTCAGCAATATTACTGCAATCTCTCTAATATATCAGATTTTTATACAAAAAAAAGAAAGGCTTTTTTTTTTTTTATTTTGCCAAAACTACACTTTAAAGTTAGTCAAAAAATTGATATTTCAGTGATGTATTTGGAGTAATTAACATAAGAAAAAACTATACGCTAATTAGTGTTATTCAGTATTGATAACAGCAGCAGCATCAACACTTTTAACAAATGCTTATCTGACATTCCGATAAATATTAGTACTATCGTTGGCATGAATAACAAATTTCCGGTTACACTGCAGTTAGATTAGTGTACTAGTTAGTGCTACTTTAAACTGGAAAACTGCTTAGTTTGTTCATTGAATTTGCATAAGATGGAAGAAAGAAACTGAACTAATAATCCAACAAACTAACAGACAAACGCAACTTTAATAAGTGGTATTCAGAACAAAAAACTACGAAGAGACGATGAAGAAATAAAGTGGAAAAAAAGAAGTTGAAACAGCTTAATTAGTCCAATTTCTAAGAACAACAGCAAGAAAAAAACATGCAAAAAAACTATAGCTAATGTTTATGTGTTAAAAACAAGAAAAAAAGGCAAATACATAAGTTATTGTTCAGTAGTTTTAACATATATTTTTTATGTCATAAGTTTTATTATTGTCCTTCTCTTTTTTTTTCTCCTTGGCTTCTCTTTTTTTCTGCTCTTTTGTTCGCCATCATTGCTTTATATTTGTTTTTGAAAGCAAAAATGAGAAAAAAATTGGCAGAAGAAAAGAATAAAGAAACGAAAAAATTCTAAAAGCAGCAGCATATAATATGATTTATTTTGGAGATGAATCAAAAGAGAAAGATTGTTAAGAGCGAAAAAAATAGATGAGAAAATAGTAAAAAGATAATTTTTTTAGTCCTTAGGAAAAAAAAAGGTTATACTAATTTATGAAACCGGGTATAATAAAAAGCAAAAACAGAAACTATAGGGCAGCAGCACTGTTTTTGAAGTGCAGTGGCAACAACAATAACGTCGTCGTCGACAACGGCGACAACGATGGCGACGACGACGATGATGACGACCAAACAAGCATCAGTTAAAATGTTTGTTTTTTCCAAAGATTGGTTATTACCTTTTTTGTTCAGTAAGTCTTTATATTACCAACAAATTTTGTTCCTCTTCATAAGATTTGATGTTATACCATCGGTCAACAAATAAAATTTTCTGTTCAAAAAACAAACGTTTTGTTTTAGTTTTTTTGCCA